CCGATCATTTTATTGCTTCTCTAAATTACTTTTAATAATTCGAATATTTGATCCTATCTAAATCATTACCTCGATAAATTATACTATCTCTTTATTATATTTTGATATGAAATAATGAACCGGATATTCCTCCTGAACATACTCCAGGTCTACATAGTTTAGTTTTGCATCGAATTTGACCATTTCAACATTCAATTCCTTAACATCTTCAGCAATCAAATCCAATAAATTTAAAAGTTTTTCAGCATTCTCATCACCCGATAAGTAAAAAGTTATAAAAGTATGTTTTTCAGTTTTCATTAGAAACGTATTAAAATAATCCGCCGTCCATTCTTTAACCGGTTGATGTAGATTTTCTGGCGAATATCCTTGAGAATAGTAAAAGTGACCATTTTGCAGACTTGAAGTGAAATAAAATAATGAGGGTATAGAGTTGAAATCTTTAAATTCATAAGTGTGCCAAAGGTGGTCAAAGGCATATATTTTTGGTTTTCCTTGGGCCGACTTGATTAAGTCGTCTGCTTTCCATTTGGTGTTCATAATATCAATATCCTTAAAGTCGGCAATAAAGAATTGCAATGTATAAGCTTGTTCAACCACCTGATAGATTTTATCAAGCCATTGTATGTGACGAGCCAGGCATTTCATATTTGGAAAATCCATAAATATCATAATTCGATTATAAAATCTTTCGGGATCTTTAAAAGTTTTACGTTCAAAAACTTTATAACGGTTATCGAAATTTTCCTGCAAAAATAGTGGTAAATCTTTAAAATCTATTTGAAAGTTATCGGGTACTTGTATTGATTTCCTTGAGATTATAGATTTCAATTCTTGTTGTTTAAGCAGCAAAAAATCTGGCTGCTGAATGACTTTTTTTAAAAATTCAATTATAATATCTTCTTTCCTTAATTGGTCATAATATATAAAATTATTTTTATCTTTAGAGGGTATAAATAATATAGTGGGATAGCCATTAGCGTGATATTCGAAGGGTACATAATTCTTTTCAGCCTCCATGTAAACAATATCCAAGTTATAGTCTTTTAGGGCCAATGCTACATTATCATAATTAGGTTCGTTTTCACTATAATGATAACGATCTAAATTTATAATTAGAAAGATGTTTTTATTGGATTTTAATATTAATTCTTCATAGTTGTCATGGACACATATTTTAACCAAATTTGTATCATTATTTTCCGGTATAGGCAGCGAGGGAAATAGTTTGCCATTTAATAGATTTTCACATAAATTCCATAGATTATCCATAGTATAATATGCATCATAGTGTGTATATATTCTTTTCTTTTCATCTATGGCATACGTATTGGGGGACTCATCTTCCGGTCTTACAAAACGACAATAGAAGTTCAAAGGATTTCTTCCGGGAAACATAACATCCATGTCAATCATATCAGCTGCTATGAATTCAATGCGATCACTATATTTTAAGGATAATTTATACATTTCATCAAGCCATTTGGTGAGATAGGCACATTTATCTCGAAAATGATTGAATAATATAACAATGGGCCGTTTTATTTGCGAAAATGTTTCACGATTCAAAATTTGTATCTTGTCATGGCAATTTTCTCTAACATACTGCTGGAAATCCACATAGTTAGCTGGTGTATGCCTTAAAATAGGTTTAGATTTAAAAACAAATTTCCGGGTTTTACTAATATTACTCTTGCATTTTTCACTACCCGACTCATCTTCAATATCGATTTGTTTAAATGCTCGACAAATATCTTCGAAATTTTCACTTTCCATCATAAGTTTATTTTAGTTTTAATTAGTGTTATAATAAATATCTTTCGACTTTTACTTAAAATTATTATATGAACTCTTGTATTCTAAACTAATGGGGTTTTATACTCAATGAATAGCGAAAAAGAGCTTTTGGTGAGAATAATTTTTAAAAGTTTTAAACATATTATGAAATTCTTTTACACAGTAAATATATTTTCACAAACTTTATACAATTAAATAGACTAGAATAGAAACGCTTTTGTAGCGAAATAGACTAGAAATTCCGAAGGGAAATGAACCCCCAGTCTACACTCTAATAGATTAGTAATTCAGCTATCCATTAACTTTTTCATCAAAATGATTTATAACAAGTAAAGTTCTATACTGAAAATTATACATGCTTAACTTTACGAAAAATAAAAAAATAATTACTTTTTTTTCGTAATATTTACGAAAAATTCGTATATAATACGAAATTGTCTTTAATGAAACCCTTTATGCATCGATTTAGGTTATTTATGAATCGATTTAGATTATTTTGATTCCTGAAAGCATGTCTGATAGAATTATTAAAATATATATAGATATTTAAAAAAACCGAGAGACGGACAAACAAACTCCGCTATATATAAGAATCCAGAATATATATATTTTATAGGGTAGGAAAACTAAAACTGAATGACTCATGGTATACGCACAATTGGGACGAACGACGAATTTCGTATAGCACGACGAACTAGTCGACAAAAATTCGTTGCGTAAATTCGTCGAATGGAACACAATCAAATTATTCGTATTGCGAATCCGTTTCAAAATTTGTTTGTTCGAAATTGGAAAAAGTAAGAAAATAGAACAAAAATTATATTTTTGTGAATATCCACGATTTTGAGATAATTTTAACAGCTTTAAAATTTATTCGAACATTATTTCGAAATTAGAAAATGTAAGAAATTGACCTCGAAAAGAACTAAAATTATATTTTTGTGAATGAATATCCCCTATTTTGAGATTATTTTAACAGCTTCAAAATTTTTTCGAACATTATTCTGACGACGAATATTCGTTCCGAAAAATTCGTCGTTCGTCCCAATTGTGCGTATACTATCATCTTCTAATAAAGGTGAAGGGTATACAAAAATATCAGGCTTATGGCCGCCGCTACTGTTATTTACAGAATACATTTTTAAGGTCCAATTTTGGCTATTTTGTATAACTTTAATAGAGAAATACACCATTTCCAAATGTAATTTTGAAATACAATTCTGATATAACATTGGAACTTCTTGAAATTAAAAATTCTTGAAAATAAGTACACATTTCCGAAATACAATTTTCTATTGTATTTTTCCCAAAAACTATCGATATTTGCAAAGAAATACTAATAAATAAAACGAATTTTAAGATTTCTTTAAATATAAATAAAAAACTTTATTATTATGAAAAATATAAAAGTATTTGTACAAAAAATAAATAGTAACCTAAATAAATGTTAAAAACTATTCTTAAAACTTTATTTTTTCTCCACTTGACTTTTAATAAACTCCAATATTTTATCTCTACTCAAATCATTATCTCGATACATTCTACTATCTCTTTTATTATATTTGGATATAAAATATTGCACCGGATATTTCTCCTGAACATACTCCAAATCCACATAGTTAAGTTTAGCATCGAATTTTACCACTTCAACATTTAAAGCCTTAACATCTTCAGCAATTACATCCAATAAATTTAAGAGTTTTTCAGCATTCTCATCATCCGATAAGTAAAATGTAATAAAAGTATGTTTTTTAGTTTTCTTAAGGAAAATATTAAAATAATCTGCAGTCCATTCTTTAACCGTTTGATGTATATTTTTTCTCGGATATACTTGGGAATAGTAAAAGTGACGACTTTGTAGACTTGAAGTGAAATAGAATAATGAGGGTATAGAGTTAAAATCTTTGAATTCATAAGTGTGCCAAAGGTGGTCAAAGGCGTATATTTTTGGTTTTCCTTGGGCGGACTTGATTAAGTCGTCTGCTTTCCATTGGGTGTTGATAATATCAATATCCTTAAAGTCTGCAACAAAGAATTGAAATGTATAGGCATGTTCAACCACTTGATAGATTTTATCAAGCCATTGTATGTGACGAGCCAGGCATTTCATATTTGGAAAATCCATAAATATCATAATACGATTATAAAATCTTTTGGGATCTTTAAGAATTTTACGTTCGAAAACTTTATAACGGTTATCGAAATTTTCTTGCAAAAATTTTGGCAAATCCTGAAAATCCAATTGAAAATCATCGGGTACTTCTACAGTTTTCCTTAAGATTCTAGATTTTAACTCTTGTTGTTTAAATAGCAAAAATTCTGGCTGTTCCATGACTTTCTTCAAAAACTCAATTATGACATCTTCTTTTCTTAAATCGTCATAATATATAAAATTGTTTTTATCATTATGTGGTATAAATAATATAGTGGGATAGGCATTAACTTGATACTCGAAGGGTACATAATTCTTTTCAGCCTCCATGTAAACAATATCCAAATTATAGTCTTTTAAGGCCAATGCTACATTATCATAATTTGGTTCGTATTCACTATAATGATAACGATCTAAATTTGCAATTAGAAAGATATTTTTGCTGGATTTTAAAATTAATTCTTCATAGTTATCGCGGACACATATTTTAACCAAATTTGTGTCATTATTTTCCGGTATAGGCAGCGAGGGAAATAGTTTGCCACTTAATAACTCTTCGCATAAATTCCATAGACTATCCATAGTATAATAGGCATCATAGTGTGTATGTATTCTTTTCATCTCATCTATTGCATACGTATTGGGGGACTCATCCTCTGGTCTTACTAAACGACAATAGAAGTTTAAGGGATTTCGTCCAGGAAACATAATATCCATGTCAATCATATCAGCTGCTATAAATTCAATACGATCACCATATTTCAAAGATAACTTATACATTTCATCCAGCCATTTTGTGTGATAGGCGCATTTTTCCCGAAAATGATTGAAAAATATAATAATGGGACGTTTTATTTGATGAAACGTTTCACGATTTAAAATGTTTATTTTGCTGTGACAATTATCCTTTACATATTCCTCGAAATCTATATATTTTGGGGGAATATAACGCAGCGTTGGTTGAGGTTTATAATCAATCGCCCACGGATTGCTAACATATTTTTCTGAACCCGGTTCATCTTCAATATCAATTTGATTTATTGATTTTATTATATCTTCTATGTTTTCACTCTCCATAGTAGTTAACGATTTAATTAATATCTACTGACTAATTTTCAAAACTGAACTAACATTAGAATCTAATGATTAGATTATTTATGAATGTCTTTTTATATTGAGAGTTTTCTGTTGGTCAAAATGAAAAAGAGCTTTTTTGCATGTAATGAGAATAATTGAGAGATATTATGAAATTTCACTGAGTACACTGTAAATATTGTTCACTAGGGTAGGATTTAAAATAAAAGCTTTTTGAAATGATGCACATTTTAATGACAAACTTCGGTTAAGTAGATAGATTAATAGATATATATAGATAGATAGATAGATATGATTAGATAGATAGATAGATAGATAGATCGATAGATAGATAGATAGATAGATAGATAGATAGATAGATAGATAGATAGATAGTATAGATAGATAGATAGATAGAATAGATATAGATAATATAGCTAGATAGATAGATAGATATATAGATAGATAGATAGATAGATATATAGATAGATAGATAGTATAGATAGATCTGATAGATAGATAGATCATCTCGATTCAGCTCCTATATAGCTCCTCGACTAGATAGCTCATAGCTCGCTAGCTAGCTAGTCTATAGTCTAGTCTAGTCTATAGTCTAGTCTATAGTCTAGTCTATAGTCTAGTCTATAGTCTAGTCTATAGTCTAGTCTATAGTCTAGTCTATAGTCTAGTCTATAGTCTAGTCTATAGTCTAGTCTATAGTCTAGTCTATAGTCTAGTCTATAGTCTAGTCTATAGTCTAGTCTATAGTCTAGCCTATAGTCTAGTCTATAGTCTAGTCTATAGTCTAGCCTATAGTCTAGTCTATAGTCTAGCCTATAGTCTAGTCTATAGTCTAGTCTATAGTCTAGTCTATAGTCTAGCCTATAGTCTAGTCTATAGTCTAGTCTATAGTCTAGTCTATAGTCTAGTCAATAGTCTAGTCTATAGTCTAGTCTATAGTCTAGTCTATAGTCTAGTCTATAGTCTAGTCTATAGTCTAGTCTATAGTCTAGTCTATAGTCTAGTCTATATTCTAGTCTATAGTCTAGTCTATAGTCTAGTCTATAGTCTAGTCTATAGTCTAGTCTATAGTCTAGTCTATAGTCTTAGGTCTTATAGTCTAGTCTATAGTCCTAGTCTATGTCTAGTCTATAGTCTAGTCTATAGTCTAGTCTATAGTCTAGTTATAGGTCTAGTCTATAGTCAGTCTATAGTCTAGTCTATTCTAGGCTATAGTCTAGTCTATAGTCTAGTCTATTTAGTCTATAGTCTAGTCTATAGTCTAGTCTATAGTCTAGTCTATAGTCTAGTCTAGTCTAGCCTATAGTCTAGTCTATAGTCTAGTCTATAGTCTAGCCTATAGTCTAGTCTATAGTCTAGTCTATAGTCTAGCCTATAGTCTAGTCTATAGTCTAGTCTATAGTCTAGTCTATAGTCTAGTCAATAGTCTAGTCTATAGTCTAGTCTATAGTCTAGTCTATGAGTCTAGTCTATAGTCTAGTCTATAGTCTAGTCTATATTCTAGTCTATAGTCTAGTCTATATTCTAGTCTATAGTCTAGTCTATAGTCTGTCTATAGTCTAGTCTATCTATCTAGTCTATAGTCTAGTCTATAGTCTAGTCTATAGTCTAGTCTATAGTCTAGTTCTAGTCTATAGTCTAGTCTATAGTCTAGTCTATAGTCTAGTCTATAGTCTAGTCTATAGTCTAGTCTATAGTCTAGTCTATAGTCTAGTCTATAGTCTAGTCTATAGTCTAGTCTATAGTCTAGTCTATAGTCTAGTCTATAGTCTAGTCTATAGTCTAGTCTATAGTCTAGTCTATAGTCTAGTCTATAGTCTAGTCTATAGTCTAGTCTATAGTCTAATCTATAGTCTAGTCTATAGTCTAGTCTATAGTCTAGTCTATAGTCTAGTCTATAATCTAGTATATTCTAGTCTATAGTCTAGTCTATAGTCTAGTCTATAGTCTAGTCTATAGTCCAGTCTATAGTCTAGTCTATAGTCTAGTCTATAGTCTAGTCTATAGTCTAGTCTATAGTCTAGTCTATAGTCTAGTCTATAGTCTAGTCTATAGTCTAGTCTATAGTCTAGTCTATAGTCTAGTCTATAGTCTAGTCTATAGTCTGTAGTCTAGTCTATAGTCTATAGTCTAGTCTATCAGTCTGTCTATAGTCTAGTCTATAGTCTAGTCTATAGTCTAGTCTATAGTCTTAGTCTATAGTCTAGTCTATAGTCTGGTATATAGTGTAGTCTATAGTCTAGTCTATTGTCTAGTCTATAGTCTAAACCTATAGCCTAGTCTATAGTCCAGCCTATAGTCTAGTCTATAGTCTAGTCTATAGTGTAGTCTAGTCTAGTCTATAGTCTAGTCTATAGTCTAGTCTATAGTCTAGTCTATAGTCTAGTCTATAGTTAGTCTATAGTCTAGTCTATCGTCTAGTCTATAGTCTAGTCTATAGTCTAGTCTATAGTCTAGTCTATAGTTAGTCTATAGTCTAGTCTATAGTCTGTCTATAGTCTAGTCTATAGTCTAGTCTATAGTCTAGTCTATAGTCTAGTCTATAGTCTAGTCTATAGTCTAGTCTATAGTCTAGTTCTATAGTCTAGTCTATAGTCTAGTCTATAGTCTAGTCTTTATCTAGTCTAGTCTATATAGTCTAGTCTATAGTCTAGTCTATAGTCTAGTCTATCAGTCTAGTCTATAGTCTAGTCTAGTCTATAGTCTAGTCTATAGTCTAGTCTATAGTTAGTCTATAGTCTAGTCTATAGTCTAGTCTATAGTCTAGTCTATAGTCTAGTCTTATAGTCTAGTCTCTAGTCTAGTCTATTGTCTAGTCTATAGTCTAGTCTTGCCTATAGTCCAGTATAGTCTATAGGCAATTTTAATATTTCAGTTTTTTAAGCCTTTAATACTCACTCTATAGCTTACCATTACATTAACTTTACAGTTAAAGAAATAATACAATCAATAATTTGTGCCTTTACAAAAATATCGTTTTAAATTTAATCTTTTAAAAAATCTTTTATCTTCTTGTTACATTTATAGTTTAAATAAACAACAATAACAAAAAAAGGAAAACTAACTTAAAATCACTTAAATAATTTAAAATTATTTACACTAAAACTAAATATTTTAAATTATACACTGTTAAAAGAAAAGAAATTAAAGAAAGCAAAAGAAATTCTAATAGAAAACAAGCAACAACAAATTAAAACATTCAACTTTTATTTAAAATGCTAAGATGTTGTAGTTGTTGTGGGCGAAGACCAGCGTATTTGTTTCAATTTATCATAAATGCTAAAGTATAAAGCCGTTGTTAGACTGGACTTGAGGAGTGTGGGCGCTACACCCTTGTAGAGACCACGCACACCCTCTTGTTTGATCGTCTCACGCAAACAACTATAGACACCTGTGCAGCGTATGTTTTGCCCAAAAGTTTGACGATTCGATTCGAAGCCCTGAATTTGTAAACGTTTCTTTATTAGATCGAAGGGATAGACAATAGTCTTAGAAAGCATGCCCGATGATGCACCCATAATAAGTAAGGTCCAGGTGGGCAATTGGCTAAAAGCAAAATAAGGAATATAGATTTGAGAATGTTGAAGGACGCCAATTTTTAAAAAAATTATAATATGATGGCTGTGCAAAACACTAAAGTGCAAATGAAATTTTAATACACCAGGCATATAATAATAAAAATAATTAACATTTACTTAAAAATATATTAGTTTATGGAGGATGAGTTTTGTTATACAATAATAGCAATACATTAGGAGTATGATTTACAAAATGGTTTCATTTTTAAAATGATCCGTAGCAATTTTTTAAATTTACAAATAAATTATCGTTTCCAGTTGTGACAGAAATTAGATCGAGCTACAAAAAAGTTTTCCTCGAATCTACCTATTAGATTGTATGGAACACACCCATCAATGCTCCCTTGTTGGTTGTAGAATTTATTTCCAATCAACATTTGTCTGAGACTCTGCATTTTAAGACAACGGCAAATTATATTGTCGATCTTCTCTAATTCCTCAATATCGTCGCATAAACCATAAATCCCCCTTAGATTCCTTAGACTACTTCTGTCACATGCTACCATGCATGGTTGCTTTCCCATCAAGATTTGACCATAAGGTTCAATACACTTTGCAATACATTCTACTATTCCAGTATTGGTTAATAGTGTCTCGGAATTTATCAGAGATCATTCTGTAGTAATGACACATGATTGGTTTTATCCCCCTGTCCCTTCTATCTACGTCCGGGTTTGAACCTTGCCTTGCAAGTTCGTTCAATACCTCATTACCCCGAACATTCCAGTGTCCAGATAAAACCTTCTTGAGATATTTGTATCTTCGTTTTAATTGACATGAGTTCTACTTGGTTAATACTTTTTAACTAAAAGATAATTCACAGATTTTAAAGGTGTCAGGAATCTAACTGTACTCCCTGTTCACTTAAATAATTTAAATCTGTTGTTGTTTTCGTTTAAATGATGATTAATACCGAACAATAAAAACAAGAGGCAAAAACACAAACATATAAATAGATTTTTTCTATTTATATAAAAATTCATAATATTTTTGGAAGTGAAGAAGTATAGGAAATCTAAAAACCCTGATTAATGACTTAAAATAAACCAATTTTAATTGGTTTGTTGATTTAAAGAAATAATTTAATAATTTCTGTTTTTTAATTAATTTTTTGCATAATTTTTCCATTTATACAAAGTTTTTGATTTATGAAACATTTTTGATAATACCGGGAATTAAGAAAGGTCGGGAATTAAAAAGCTTGATTATATTATAAAAACCTACTTAAAATTAATGGATATTTTGCAATATAAATAATGATTAATAATAATTATAATAAAATAAAAGCCACATGCGGAAATACGATAAGCAACAGTGCCAAATTTGGATTTGCCGAATTTTGTATAGTCTATAGTCTAGTCTATAGTCTAATCTATAGTCTAGTCTATAGTCTAGTCTATAGTCTAGTCTATAGTCTAGTCTATAGTCTAGTCTATAGTCTAGTCTATAGTCTAGTCTATGGTCTAGTCTATAGTCTAGTCTATAGTCTAGTCTATAGTCTAGTCTACAGTCTAGTCTACAGTCTAGTCTATAGTCTAGTCTATGGTCTAGTCTATAGTCTAGTCTATAGTCTAGTCTATAGTCTAGTCTATAGTCTAGTCTATAGTCTAGTCTATAGTCTAGTCTATAGTCTAGTCTATAGTCTAGTCTATAGTCTAGTCTATAGTCTAGTCTATAGTCTAGTCTATAGTCTAGTCTATAGTCTAGTCTATAGTCTAGTCTATAGTCTAGTCTATAGTCTAGTCTATAGTCTAGTCTATAGTCTAGTCTATAGTCTAGTCTATAGTCTAGTCTATAGTCTAGTCTATAGTCTAGTCTATAGTCTAGTCTATAGTCTAGTCTATAGTCTAGTCTATCTAGTCTATAGTCTAGTCTATAGTCTAGTCTATAGTCTAGTCTATAGTCTAGTCTATAGTCTAGTCTATAGTCTAGTCTATAGTCTAGTCTATAGTCTAGTCTATAGTCTAGTCTATAGTCTAGTCTATAGTCTAGTCTATAGTCTAATCTCTAATCTATAGTCAGTCTATAGTCTAGTCTATAGTCTAGTCTATAGTCTAGTCTATAGTCTGGTCTATAGTCTAGTCTATAGTCTAGTCTATAGTCCTAGTCTATAGTCTAGTCTATAGTCTAGTCTAAGTCTAGTCTATAGTCTAATCTATAGTCTAGTCTATAGTCTAGTCCTATAGTCTAGTCTATAGTCTAATCTATAGTCTAGTCTATAGTCTAGTCTATAGTCTAATCTATAGTCTAGTCTATAGTCTAGTCTATAGTTCTAGTCTATAGTCTAATCTATAGTCTAGTCTATAGTCTAGTCTATAGTCTAGTCTATAGTCTAGTCTATAGTCTAGTCTATAGTTTAGTCTAGAGTCTATAGTCTAGTCTATAGGTCTATAGTCTAGTCTATAGTCTAGTCATAGTCTAGTCTAAGTTAGTCTAATAGTCTGTCTATAGTCTAGTCTATAGTCTAGTCTATAGTCTAGTCTATAGTCTAGTCTATTAGTCTAGTCTATAGTCTAGTCTATAGTCTAGTCTATAGTCCTAGTCTATAGTCTAGTCTATAGTCGAGTCTATAGTCTAGTCTATAGTCTAGTCTATAGTCTTAGTCTATAGTCTAGTCTATAGTCTAGTCTATAGTCTAGTCTATAGTCTAGTCTATAGTCTAGTCTATAGTCTAGTCTATAGTCTAGTCTATAGTCTAGTCTATAGTCTAGTCTATAGTCCTAGTCTATAGTCTAGTCTATAGTCTAGTCTATAGTCTAGTCTATAGTCTAGTCTATAGTCTAGTCTATAGTCTAGTCCTATAGTCTAGTCTATAGTCTAGTCTATAGTCTAGTCTATAGTCTATCTATAGTCTAGTCTATAGTCTAGTCTATTATCTAGTCTATAGTCCTAGTCTATAGTCTAGTCTATAGTCTAGTCTATAGTCTAGTCTATAGTCTAGTCTATAGTCTAGTCTATAGTCCTAGTCTATAGTCTAGTCTATAGTCTAGTCTAGTCTAGTCTAGTTAGTCTAGTCTAGCTAGTCTAGTCTATAGTCTAGTCTATAGTCTAGTCTATAGTCTAGTCTATAGTCTAGCCTAGTCTATAGTCTAATATTTAGTATATGTAGTCTATAGTCGAGTCTCTAGTTTTCTATTTATTTTTGTTTTAATAGTTTTAAGGTTAAGGGGGAACGGAAGCCATAATTATATTATAAATGAATGAATCAAGTGTAAATGGTTTTATCAATGAAATTTGTTTCCAGTTAAATGATGATTAATACTATTTTTAGTAAAATAAAAGCAGCAAGCAAACATACAATAAATAAAATATAGGGTAATAAATAAAAATCAAACACAACTTACCTTCTCTCCTTAACATCCAAAACTTTACAGGCAGATTGTGAGAATAGACGATAAAACATAAAATTCGAACCCATTAGGGGAGTAATCTGCAGCAGAGCCGACGATAGACCACGATACATGCCACGAGGACCTTCATTCTTTATGATAGCCGCTACAGCACGTGTGGCATTACGATAACCTTTGCTAGTGTCCTGAGCTATTAAACGTGTACGTATGACATCTAAAGGAGTGGATACAATAACCGCTGCATTGCCTGCCAGCGCTCCACATATAAAATTGGATAAATTCGTTTATCCTTAAGATACGTAGTTTGTTTGGCATACAAACTCAATTGTTCATAAGTCCAAAATTGTGAAATGCCATACATGATACTAAGGATTTGAGCAGGATTATGACCTTTCCAGAAGGCTAAAAGACCTTCCTCTTTGTATATGGTTTTAATGGCCTGATTTATGGAAATGTATTTGGATTTTTTGGCTGCTGCTGTAGCGGTGGCAACGGCTTGAGTGCCTAAAGGTTCTTACTTGTAGTTGAAAGCGTATTTTTAAGACATCAAATGGTTGACAAGTAGATCTGGTTATGGCCGCCGCCAGACCACCAGAAATAATTTGTTGCAGTTGTTCTCTACTGCTGTTGGTGCGTTTTTTCACTGGTGCTGTTACTGATTTCTCCACCACCACAGGTGCTGTGCTGCTGGAGGAAGAGTTAGCCATGTGTTTATAGTTAAAAAAAGGCTTTTTTTATCACGAAGTTAAATAATTTTAAATTATTTTTGCTTTATTGTAGTTTTTATGTTGTTGTTTAAACGAATTAAGACTCACAACTAAAATTTTGTTTTTTAAGTTTCACTTTTTCTTCTCAGTTGGTCTGAGCTTGGGCTGAGCAGTGCAGCTGCTTAAGTAAGTGTGTGTTTTGTTTGATGAATGAATGAATCTTTGTTTGTAAAAGTTGTTGTTGTTGTTAACTTGAGGTATTTCTGGGCTATAAAGTAACAAAAGTTGGATGGTATGTCTGTCTGTCAGCAAGTCAACCTGACTGCTTGTGCTTGCGTACGTTACTTTAACTGCGTTTGAATTTAAGCTGCACAACCTTTGCGTGTCAATTATTATAATTATTAACGTTTTGTAGATAAATTTCTTCTTTTATTTTTGTTGTAAAATAATAAAAAAATTTTGTTGTTTAAATTTTACTGTAAATAAACAATAAAAAGAAGAAAAGAAAACAGAAAATCAATTTTTGCTATTGTTTAAATAAAATTTATGGGTAAAAATTTAAAAGCAAGCTAAAGAAAAGTGTATACCTACAAAAATTTAAGTTTAAAGATCAAATTTGAAAGTGATATAGGTAGGTAAGGTACTACTTCTCTTTATATCAATACAAAGAGATAATTAATACATAAGTGCTCACCTATGAAACCCCTACAAATTGAGGCTTGTCATGTAAAGTTAATGAAATAATAAAAAATAAACAAGAGAGATGTTTTTTTTTTAATTCAAATATTTTCAAATTTTGTTTTGAAAAAGCATCAACTATATGTCATTTATTTGTATTTATGAGCTATTTCTGTTATTTTTTATGTTGACCTTCTCGGTAGGTAGTATGTAAATCGTCTGAATCCACATGAATATATGCATATTTACATTTATATGAAGATAAAGTAAGTTCCAAAAGTCAGAGGTGTATATTTTGAAGGTTTATTGTTATTACTGTTAGTTTTATTTTTCAAACTAAAAGATTTTTATGTTGGTTATTAATTTAAATTGTTTTGTTTATAGTTGTATTAAAATAATTAAGGTGTTGAATTAAATAATTACCTTAATTACTTAATTTTAATAAGTTCAATTCATTCCGTCTTTTGATTTACTTAAAAATTTGGTGAATTGTTCACATAAGGTTTTGGAACACATCATTAGTTTGTGATCCAGTTAAAATCGTGGGTCAATTTTATAAATTTGTTTAGAAAAGGTTTTACAAATACATAGTTACTTTTCATTCTTCCCTTTATTATATACCTACATACATATATGTATACTTAGATGCATTAATTTCATCCATTTTTGATATATAGATAGGTCAACGTAATTAGTCCACATAGACTAAATGTGGTTGCTATTTAAAAACAATAAAATCATTTTGCAAAGATCAGTGTGTTTGCTCAAAAAATAACTAATTAGAGTCTTGAAACATTTCTGTAAATTAGGACAGGATTCCAGGCTGCAGAAAAGCTCATTTGGATTTCTTTGATCTCTTTGTGATAGTTAGAATAATGGCTGCATAAATGAATAATAGTTTAGTCATCATTTTCTTTGTGACAATAACTACGCAAAGCGCAAAGGTTTAGGTTTAGAAGGGTTATGCACCATAAAAAGATGCACATCCACATAAAGAAGAAACTAGGTAAAAAGGATAGATAAATGGAAACAGGTCTATTCTAAGGGATTTCACCACAGATGATTTAACAAGGTTATGCACCATAAAAAGATGCACATCCACTCGGAGACCATAAGGTCTATTGTGATTCTCTTTAAAGAGTGAAGATTCAAAGACATAAATAAAGAATGAAAGAAAGAAGAAGAAACTGGGTAAAAAGGATTGATAAATGGAAACTGGTCTATTCAAAGGGATTTCATCCCAGATGATTTACCAAGTCAGTATCCTAAAGAAGAAAGAGATGAGAGAGAAAATCTTTGTCCTATGTAAGGGAACAAGGTGACAGCGAGGGTTATGACCCGCAATATCCCCCATTCCCAAGCCATTTAAGCCTGAGATTCTGTATCCTAGGATGAAAAGCACAAAAGTACAGTGATCAGAAGCTACTGTTATTAAAGCTGACCTTATGGTATGTAAAGTAGGGCAAATGATCTGATAGGGTTATATTTCGGCTATATAATCTTTGTAATACAAGTGATCCATCTAATCTAGCGAATCCGTAGAATCTAATATTAACACCAAGAAAACGGAATTCACTAATGTCGTATAAACTCTTAGAGCAGCTTGACTATAGGTGTAGAATCGAATGAAAATGCCACCTTAAATTTTCCGAAGTAGTAAAACTAATGTTTCTCTATAAGAAGGTTTTGGGAGATTAGATATATCCTCTATAATATTATAGTACCCGTATGGATTTGTGTGACCATACGCCAATCTGAAAGGAGTGTTTAGTGCTAATTTCCTGGTCAACAAGTCAGTTGGAATGCAGTTTAGTACTGCACATAGATGATGTTCTCAGGGATCCTTTTATAAGGATTGACATTCTCCTTAGAACTTTGTCAAGGAGTAGGCATTTTGAATTTCTGTCTAATGCTTTCCATCAGACAATTACCATTTGTATCAAAGGCTACCATGCAAAGCTACCCCTCTCCACCACCAGGTGGACCAGGTCTGACAAACTCCTCCCATAGGAAGCTTTTATTAAATAGAATAAAGCTTTAAAAAAAGTTAAGAGATGGACAGACGGTACTCAAAACGATGTCGCTGTCTAGATACGCAATCAGAATGTACACATTGAGGGACTATCGCAAAAATGATTGGAATACATGATCCATTTATGTAATCCCAAAACGACTCGCTTGTAAACATTATTGGTCTATATGATCTGTTTAGTAGGTCCATAGCCTGCATTACATAAGACCATGTACTTCCATAATTTTAGCAAGGAAGTGGTTTTGGAATTACTCTGATGTAACGAAAGGATGGATTACGTGGTCATCACAATGATAAATGGAGTATATTTTGGATCAGCCATAGCCTATTAATGAGTATTCTTTACACTTGTGTGCGGAGTAGTCTCATCATAGATCATCGACATATGTATAAAACTTTATCACTGTGAGGAAGTGTTTATAATATATGGTTAATATCGGTGGTATTGATTCTCAGCTGA